CAAATGCGTGAACTTTCCAGCCCTTGTCCTTTTATGATACGTGTGAGTAGGATGCAATAATGCTGTTCACATTTTATGCATAACCATAGATACAAAGACATAACATAAAACCCTTTACAAAAATAGAGGCACAGATTAGAGTCACCCACCCCCGCTAGAAGTCAAGGAGCTCCTCAGGGCACTGGACGTTACAAAGGTGCCAGGCCCTGATGGGTTACACCCGGGAGTACTTCAAGAGTTGCCACGGGTTGTCTCATGCCTGCTGGCCTCCATTTTTGAGGCCTCGTGGAGAACGGGTAAAGTTCCAGAGGACTGGAGGGTGGTGTCAGTGGTCCCCATTTTCAAAAAGGGTAGTAGAAGGGACATGGGGAATTACAGACCAGTTAGCCTTATGTCCATTGTAGGAAAAACAATGGAAAGGCCCATAATAGTGAGAGATCTAGTGATGCTAGATTAGGAAGGGAGGCCGGTGGCAACACAACACGGCTTCTGCAAAAACAGGTCCTGCCAGACAAACCTTGTGGAATTCTATGACAAGGTTTCAAGGTGGCTAGATGGAGGGGACGCAGTGGATGTGGTTTAACTGGATTTCAGCAAGGCCTTTAGCAAAGTGCCCCATGATATCCTGATTGAGAAATTGAGGAGTTTTGAGATAGACCAATGCACTGTCCGATGGATTAGGGCATGGTTGACTGACCGAAAGCAGAGAGTAACCATTAGTGGGGAATCATTGGGATGGTGGCCAGTGACAAGCAGGGTCCCCCAGGGCCCTGTCCTAGGGCCGATCCTGTTCAACCTTTTTATCATTGACATGAGAGAAGAGGTGAACAGTCTGCTGATCAAATTCGCAGACGACGCTAAAACTGGAGCAGTGGCCACAACTGAGGAGCAGGTACTCCAGATCCAAAAGGATCTGGACAGACTATGTAAGTGGGCAGGAGACAACATGATGGTGTTCAATGTGGATAAGTGTGAGGTCTTGCACTTGGGGCATAGGAAATGGGTGTCATAAGTACAGGTTAGGCGACAAGTGGCTGGAGAGTAGCACTTGTGAAAGGGACCTTGGGGTACTGGTTGCCTTCAGGCTAAACATGAGTCAGCAGTGTGATGCAGTGGTTAAGAGGGCAAACTCCACCCTTGGTTGCATAGTCAGAAGTGTGGCTTCTAGATTGAGAGTGGCATTACTACCACTCTGACTCTGGTGAGCCCGCAACTGCAGTATTGTCTTCGGTTCTGGGCTCCATATTACAGGAAGGATATAGCCAGGTTGGAATCAGTACAGTGTAGGGCCACAAGGATGGTGACCGGATTGCAGGGAAAGCCTTATGAGACGAGACTGAGGGAACTGGGTCTTTTCAGCATGGAGACTCCGAGGGGATCTGTTGGTGACATATAGGTATGTGAGGGGGTGTCACACGGAGGTGGGTAGAGACCTGTTCTCCCCTGCAGAGGAGGGCAGGAGACGCTCCAATGGACCAAAGCTCAGGGAACCAAGGTTCAGTTTAGATGCCAGGAAAGTACTTCCTCACAGTTAGGACCCCAAGGGTATGGAATGGGCTTCCATGGGAGTTGGCTGAGGCCCCATTGGTGAGGGTGTTCAAGGATAGGCTAGACATGGACATGGTGGGCATATCATGAGCAGAGCCGGCTGGAGCCGGGGGTCAGACTGGATGGCCCGGGAGGCCCCTTCTGACTCGCACTGTTTCTATCGCTCATGACCATAAGCGATCTATATGTGCACTGAATGGCTAGACCGTGTGAAGGAGGCCCATGACGCTAGGATAGGCAGCCCAGCAGTCAGCTGGTCAGTCAGCAGGACAAGGTAGCAGAGGGGAGCCTTTCCAAAAGCACCTTGCCTGGGACCCTCCTCAAACCTAGCAGCACCTCAGTGTTTAATCAGCCATGAGAATGGTTTAAAGGAAATAAGGTCCATCTAACAATATTCACTCATGCAATTAATGAATGGCATCGAAACCTTCTCAAATGATTCACAGTTTAATTTACGCTCCTGTAAAAAACTCAGCCGTCAGGGCAAGATGCCGTGCTTCTGGAAACCATGTCTTAATTGTTAGAAACTTGGAGTCATGCCATTAGGTAGCTATTAAAAACTTAGCTGCCATCAGTAAGTTCCATTTTAATTTGAAAGGTTCCATTCAAACAGAGTCTTCTAAATATCCCAGTAAAACACACAAACATTTGAGATGGAACGGATAGCCAATCCTATCACCAATCATTTCTGCACTGCCACTTCTGTGTCCTTAAAAAGGGCAACTGGAAAACACACGCTTAGGAGTTCAATGTGAGCCATACAGGATCAGATCAAAGTCCTGTCTAGTCCAGCCTTCTGTTCCCGCACTGACAGGAAGGTCATGGCACCCTCCTGCTCATATTTTCTAGACTCTGATATTGACAGCCACACTGCCTCCAACAGTAGAGGTAAAGTAGAAGAGCCGTGACTTGTAACCCCTGGTAACCACCATGGATCCGTGCATACAACCCATGTGTGAAAAGCTCAGGAAGGGAGCAGTTCTGTGTGTTTCAGCAAAGCACCAAAATGTAAATAATATGTCTTAGGAAGGCATACTAGGGATCCCTTCTTAGTTTGGCCATGTCTGCAATAGGTTTTCTCCCAATGCCATTCTGGTACTATTACAAATCCTGAGTCACATATGACTTGTTCTCACACTAATATTACTCCAGTTTATGGGTTGATGGCATAGGAAGTGGCCACATCATGAATAGAGCCCATATGGCCATAGATTTTGAATGCTATTATGGAGGCACCAGAAGGAGATGTACTGAAGCAGCAGGTCTACATCCTCAAGATAACACTGGAAAGGATCTATTTGTATTCTTCAGACTCAGGCTTCATGACTTTGCTTTTAAGGATCTTCACCCTTACCAATGAGGTAGAACCTGGAAATAAGACACCAGGAAGAGAAGACTGGGGGAGGAAGGGGTTTGATATGATGGCACTCTATAAGTGCCAGAAAGGCTGTCACAAAGAGGAAGGTAAAGATCTCTTCTCTTCAGAGTGTAGGACCTGGAATAATCAGCTCAAGTTGTGACAAACCAGATTCAGGCTAGATATCAGGAAAAGTTTCCTCACTGTCAGAACAATACAACAATGGAACCAGCTGCCTAGAGAGGTTCTGGGCTCTCTTACACTAGAGACATTCAAAAATAAACTGGACAGTCATCTGAGTGGGATGGTATAAATTAGTGTCCTGTAGCAGCAGGGGGTTGGGCCCAGTGGCCTTCTTGGCCACTTCCAACTCTACTACTCTGTGATTCCATCCCTTGAAGGTGGGACCACCAGGGTGATCTCATGTACCCAGTAATCTCTCTGTGGTCCCACAAACCTTGTATCTGGTGGTCTAATTTCTCCTGACTCCTGAACCAGCACCAGTAGCCCATGGCTATTACACCAGACCATCTCTCTTAATCTGACCATCATTACGGATTGCTTCAGAAACCCTAATTTGCCACCCAAGACATCTTTACCCTGAACCACACCCAGTGCTGCTTTTCCCCCACTAGCCTGCAAGACCCTTGTTCACCTTGCAAACATGAGCCAAACCTTTCCTGTTAGAAGGGGACAAATATGTCTGCACCTTTCTATTTATTACAGTCATTCTGCAATGTACACAGACTGATATAAGTGATCTTATTGGTATACATTAACATTTTGATGACTAAAATGAGACATTAGTTATCATCGCTAATGGTATATTTAATGACTATTAGTTCACTGGCTTTCAGAATGACATCCAAGTACTTTCAAGGGAAGGATTCAATCTTCTCCCATTCAGCACGTGGGTTGAATGTGTTTGTGCATGCTAGTTCCTTGCATTCTATTATATTGTGATCAAGGAACAGAATCCAAGATGGACTTATGCATATGGAAGCAACTGAGGTCACTAGCAACAAAAAACAGGTTATCCATCAATGCAACAGTGCTTATGAATGAACTCCTTTACTTTTTTCCGTGTAAGTGACTACCATTCACCATTACGAGGTAAAGTAAAGCATTACCTCCCGTCTTTAGCATGCAGTGGTTTAATTCCTTTCTGACAGACGCTCCGCAGTCAGACATATAAAATGCAAAATTTTCAGAAATGCTGACGTCACAGAAAATCCCATCTTTTTATAACGAAATCTCCTGGACATTTTGGGGAAAAGTGCTTTTTACCTATCTAAATTTACTTTGTTACTTTGGGAACATAAAATATATTATATAAACGTATTATATGTATATTATCATAAAATTAATATGAAAATGTTTAAAAGTAAATTCAATACATTTGTAATTATTTTAAATATACTATACTTTGAAATTTAAGATGCCAAACACAATAATTTTATCGGCCAACCAAGTAGATTTTAGGAACTTCAGCCAGTAGTACCTGAAACATCCAAATTATCCCAGAAGAAGCAGGAAAAGTGGGAATTAGAGGGAGGTTTGTGTACAGAATATGCTGTTTGTAAGGAATTAGTTTGAAATATTTTGTCTGGAAAAAAATTTGCTGAGAGATTATTTAGCTAGGAAAGGCCCATTTCCCTATTAGGGAAGCTAGTCAATTACGTGTCCAGCTCATAATTGGATTATTTAGAATTAAAACCAAATCTAACTCCATTACATGATCCACTAGAACAATTGACTCTATCCTTGGATTCCATGATAAGGAAATCTTAAGAAAGAAATGGAAGACCTGTGTCTTTTTTCCTCCTCCTCCCCCTCCCCACTAGATCTATCTAAATAATAGGAAAACTTTTTTGGAAGAATACAGGTGTATAAAATTCTGAAAATTTCTAAAATCTATATGTGAGAGTAACTTTGAAACATTTTTAGGGAGATAGTATAATGAATCAAAAAACGTATCAGATACTTTGGAGTGATTTCTGGGATATTATTACTTCTTTGTTTACCCTTTGAAACAATACTGTAATAGAATGTTTTGAATCAGACAACACATGTTCAATAACACAAATTATATTACCTGTAATAGATACGAAGGGTCTGGAGTTCTTCTTCCAGCGTTGCATATTGCTGAATAACAGTCTCTCTTTCTTGCTGCATAGCCAGCAATTTTTCCTACAAACAGAGAATTGGTTAAATGTCAGGGTAATCCTATGCAAAAACCATGGAGTTCAGTGGAGTTTACTGGGCACAGTGGCATTTATCCCCAGGTACCCATGCACAGGATTTGGCCTTCAGAACATAAAAAGTCTCCTGATACACCAAAGGTTCATCTCCTCCAGAGTTATCTGGTTGTTTATTATGGGAAACAAACAACCAGCTAATTCTTGGAAGCCCAAAAGCAGGACACAGAAGTGGCTGACTTGACCCAGAGTTTCTCTGAAGCAATGGAAGAAGTTGCCACCTCTCAGATACATTCCATTTCAGTGCCCTTTCTAAGAGAACCTAACAGTAAGATGTCAGAATAATGCAGAACTGAATATTCAGTCGTGATCATTATAACGTACAGAATTTTATGTTCAATTTTGTAATCCCTAATTTATGTATGTTCTTTCCAGATACCCCACTTTTCGCTTAAAGAAGTCCATGAAGTAGTTATCAGTCATTAAAAAGTAATATGAAATATAAAACCCCAGAGAAATACAAAAGAGAATTAATCCCACAGCCAAGACAAAACACACCCGCAACCACCAAGTTGGGATATATAATATCAAATAAGTAAATGTAAACACACTTTCCAGATACAAGTAACACTTTTTATTATCCCCTTTTTAAAAAAGAAAAGCAAATAAACCCCATCCACCCATTTGATTCTGCTTCTGAAATGGGTAAACATAAAAATGCTCACATTTAACAAAAATGTTTTATTCAGCAGTCTAGTACTGTCACATTTACTGAGATTGTTTCTCATACATACAATAGGAAAAATTAGAACCCTTATTCCCAGCCAAATCAGCTAAATAAAACAACATCATGTCACTAATTAAAAACCATGCTTATATCCCTATCAGGGCCAATGGCAACCAAAAAAATCGGTCCACATCCAGGATCCCAGGCTGCACTGGGACAGCACTCAGGATCCCATACCAAAAGAGAATGGCAGGCTACAACTGCAGGCAGAAATGCATCTACGTTAGGAAACAAATAGCAGCAATCAATATAAATTCAAGTCAAAGCCATCATACCATTTTGAAATCTGTTAGAATAGTGCCACCTTGATTGAGGGAATAGTAAGGTGTACATATCTAGGGACCGATTTCCAAAGGCTTGATGCCACTCCTAAGCAGGCCTTCACTCATTCATCTACCCTCCACACTTCAGAGGGAAAAGTCATGTGGAGCCTCTGAAGAACAGCTTACTGTATAGTTAGACCCATATGAGAGAAGGCAGTCCATCATATCCTAGTCATTTGGGGCTTTACAAGGCAACACCGGCACTTTGGATTAGGAAGAAACCATTTGGGAGCCAATGTAGAGCCAATATGGCAGATACATTTGGTAACAACTGGACGTTTTCAAAGGCAGCCCCACCTGGAGCGTATTACAGTCTGACAGCCAATGTGGTGTAGTGCCCAACCTGTGGTGTAGTGCCCACTCAGCCATGAACCTCACTGGACGAGTTTGGGCCAGTCATGGACTCCCAGCCTAGGCTACCTCCCAGGCCTGCTGTTGTGAAGATAAAATGAAGAAAAGGAGACTCTGGTAAGACGGACTGCGTTCTTGCAATGTAAGAATCACAACAATGCAAGGGTACAATCAGGATGTGTGCCAGGCAGGTGGTGCTGTGCTGTGACAGGTGGTTCTATCTCTGGACCCATTTAGCATCCTAGCCTTTCCAGCGTGCCCTGTGTCCAGACCTGCAGGCATGAATTGGAATTCATTTCCAATAGAACAACACTGAAGGCTAAGATGACCAGATACAAATATTTTCCTATACTTAGTAATCCGTAATTCACCAAGCGGAGGAAGAGGGTGATAGAAACTGCATGCCTAGTCAGAGAGTTCACTTTAGAAATAAGCCCACTTGCTTCCTGCATGAAGTAGCCTCATATGGCAGCTCAATGCCATTTCATTTGCTTTGATTACTGGAATTAAACCATTCAGCTTTGGTCTGTAAGTTGAGCCATTTATGTTATGGACCTCGTGCTGCTTCTAGGCTCACAATAAAACCCACAAAATACTAGAATGTTAGCCAAACCAAACTATTTTCTGTAATTATACTGTGCCGTTGGTGAAACAACCTTCTCAACTATTTGGGAAAACATGCTGGAATCAAAGTAGGTGGGTTGTTCCAAGAGGCCAATAATTAACATCCTTGACAATTTTCAGTGTACTGTGAAGTGCAATTGAAATGGTAGACGGGGAGGAAATGTTTGTAGCAGACACACCCACTCCCACAAGAGATTACCTGCTAGGTTCTTTAGAGAGGTATCACACCTGATATCCTTTTAGGAGAAAGGTCAGGAGACATCAGTTTGGATTCTCCTTTCTCTGACACCCATACTGGCCTGGCATTACTTCACAAGAATAGCTCCTAGTTTAGAGCAACGTAAGAGGGAAGAGAATCAGTATAGATGGATTTAAGGCAATCAGCCACTGAGAAAGGGAAATAATTATAATGCCAGGTTTGTAGCTAATCTCCCCAGTGTAATGTGTAGACTGGGAGTGGAATGCTGGTAAAGCAGAGACAATAGTAAGCATTCCTTTCTGGGATTTCAGTGCATGCTGCCTGTGGCTGAGGCCCAATCCTTACGAAGGTGGTAAATCTGAGTTGGGAGCCTGCTGAGGGCCCACACCTCAGCAAGGGCCCACTGTCAAGAACCCCCGGGGCTTGCTCCTCCTGCCTGCCCCTTGCTCTGATAGTGAGAAGGGCGGGGGGGGGGCAGCAGAAGCCCACCAAAATCCTTTATGGGATTGACTCATCTGAGATTTGGTCTTCCCCTTCTCTTCTATACAGTTTCTATATAGCCTGAAGTGCTTGATCCTGCCTAATCTCGGAAGCTAAGCAGGGTCAGGCCAGGGTGACTGGAGTCCTACACTGAGCATGTGGTTGAACCCAATGGCCCGCTAGGTCCTGCTAGGTCCTGTACTTTTGCCTTTGACTTTCTCTGGCATCATCATCTTCTCCACTGGGTCTTGGCTTCTCATGATGTGCCAAAATTATGACAGCTAATGAATAACTTTGTTGTTATGTTCTGTCAAGTCATCTCTGACTTATGGCAACCCTATGAACGAAAACCCTCCAAAATGTCCTTGACAGCCCTGCTCAGCTCTTATAAATTCAAGGCAGTGGCTTTCTTTATGTAGTCAATCCATCTCATAATGAATAAATAATCTACATGAAAGAGTAATCTCAAACAGGGTGATCATATTTGCCATCTTACTTAAATGGGGTATGATAAAGAAAATTTCCCCTTCATGGATCACTGCCTTGTCGTGGCGAAGGGGCTTGCGTAGCTCAATGAAGCTATGAGCTATGCTGTGCAGGGACACCCAAGATGGACAGGTCATAGCAGAGAGTTCTGACAAAACGTGATCCACTGGAGCAGAAAAGGGCAACCAACCCCAGTATCCTTGCCATGAAAACCAAATCTCCAAAATGACATAATGATCTCAGTTCGAATCCAGGGCAAACCATTCACCGTCACAGTAGTCCAAGTCTGTGCCCCAACCACTGGTGCTGAAGAGGCTGAAGTTGACCAGTTCTATGAAGGCCTACAACACCTTCTAGAATTAACACCAAAAATGATGTCCTTATCATCATGGGGGATTGGAATGCTAAAGTAGGAAGCCAAAAGATAACCGGTATAACAGGCAAGTTTGGCCTTGGAGTACAAAATGAAGCAGGGCACAGGCTGGTAGAATTTATCAAGAGAATACGATGGTCATAGCAAACACTCTTTTCCAACAACCCAAGAGAAGACTCTACACTTGGACATCACCAGACGGTCAACACAGAAATCAGATTGACTATGTGCTCTGCAGCCAAAGATGGAGAAGCTCTATACAGTCAGTAAAAACTAGACCAGATCATGAGCTTCTTGTTGTAAATTTTAGGCTTAAATTGAAGAAAGTAGGGGAAAGCACTAGGCCACTCAGGTATGACCTAAATCATATCTCTGATGAATATATAGTAGAGGTGACAAATAGATTTAAGGAATTAGATCTGATAGACAGAGTGCCTGAAGAACTATGGGCGGAAGTTCGCAACATTGTACAAGAGGTAGCAACTAAAACCATCCCAAAGAAAAAGAAATGCAAGAAAGCAAAATGGCTGTCTGAGGAAGCTTTACAAACAGCTGAGGAAAGAAGGGAACCGAAAGGCAAGGGAGAAAGTGAAAGATACACCCAACTGAATGCAGAATTCCAGAGAAGAGATAAGAATGCCTTCTTAAATGAACAGTGCAAAGAAATAGAAGAAAACAATAGAATAGGGAGGACCAGAGATCTCTTCAAGAAAATTGGACCTAACAGAGGCAGAAGAGATTTAGAAGAGGTGGCAAACTGGAGATATGAAGGGAATGTTTCATGCAGATGAGCATGATAAAGGATCAAAATGGCAGGGACCTAACAGAGGCAGAAGAGATTAAGAAGAGGTGGCAAGATTTCACAGAAGAACTATACAAGAAAGAGCTTAACGTCCCTGATAACCACGATGGGGTGGTCACTGACCTCGAGCCAGACATCCTGGAATGTGAAGTGAAATGGGCCTTAGGAAGTCTGAGCAACAACAAAGCTAGTGGAGGCAACAGTATTCCAGCTGAGCTATTCCAAAATCTTAAAAATCTTAAACTGAAGCTCAATCCAGACAAGACGGAGGTCCTGTTGGTTGGCGGTTCGGGCTTCAGAGAAGGTGACCTGAACCTTGTCCTGAATGGGGTTGCACTCCCTCCTAGGGACAAGGTCCGCAGCTTGGGAGTGCTCCTCGACCCGGAGCTTTCACTTGAAGCTCAGGTGACAACAGCGGCGAGGAGCGCTTTCCTCCAGCTTCGGCTGATTCATCAGCTGCGCCCCTACCTGGGGTACGACTGCCTTGCAACAGTGACTCATGCGCTGGTGACTTCCCGTCTTGACTTCTGTAACGCGCTCTACGTGGGGCTACCCTTGAAGACGGTC